AGAACTCATCAAGAATTTGTACCTTCGTTTGGACGATTCCCGCAGAAAGATACTCTTATCACATATTCATACCTGGATCTCGCAAGCCAGTCAACAGCCCTTGATCCGCGTTTCGTGTCAAGTGTACGGTTTCATTCTCCCCATCGAAGACGGCACGCCATTCTCCGACGGGTTGCTGGAGGATGTTAACTCTATTTTGGAGGGATGTTCTGACGGGTTCGAGGAGATTGAAGAGGAAGACGGGGAACATGAGGCATTGGGAAAGGACGCATGGCAGGTGCCCTATCAGGCTCTAGTCGTCCTGGCCAAACTGCTTGCGAAGAATCCGGAACTCGCTAAGGACCTCTCCCGTATCAGTTGGTCATACGTTGTCCCGCTCTTGTTGTACCCACATGCCTGGGTTCGCACCGCGTCCTGTCGCCTACTAGGAACTATGCTGGCGACTGTCCCACCAGACGCACCTCTGGAGAACGTCCCGCCACCAACTTCCGGGTCGCCTGGACTGTTCACCAGGGAGTGGATGGAATTAGTCACTCGAAAGTTGTGTGCGCAGTTGAAGAGTGAGCATCTCGGGGAGGATCTAAGTCTTTATATCGTCAAGAACCTGTTTTACTTCGGTCGATGCTTCTCTAACATCCCCTTCTCGACCACTGAGGACGGCGATGACAGTGGCAATGAAGTGCAACAGGATTCGACGGAGGGTAAAGGGCGACATCCATTACGATGGCTATTCTCGAGATTGTCGTTCCAGGCACGCTCCGCATATGTTGCACGACGCAACAAGGCCTTTGTTCCTGTACGTCTCACCATGCCTCGTCACGTCATGACATGAACTCACCGTCTGCTTCAGTACGATTGGGCGCGCCAGCCCTCGGCAGCTTTGAAGTGGTTTGCAGCGATGGTAGCACTTCTTAGTGCTGAAGTCGTTGAGACGTTCCTTGTTCACATTCTCACACCTGTATATCGGATTACAGAGGATGACAGTGTTCGTGATTCCCGGATGGGTGCGTTCATCACCACCCTCAGAGATATCTCCCAACTGACAACCAAACACAGACGAGCTGAAGCTCATAGCGATCGAGCTACAAGATATGGTTCGATCCAAAGTGGGGGGTAGCAAGTTCGCGGAGGTCTATAACAGCATACGACAGGGCGTGCTTGGTATACAGAGGGAAAGGAAGATTGCCCGAACGCTGCAACACACCACGAACCCAGAGGCGGCGGCGAAACGGAAGATTCAGAGGAATGTCTCGAAGAAGGAGAGCCGTAAGAGAAAGGGTGTCATGTTTTTGTGAGTCACTTTTCTGCTGGCATGATGTAGAGTGCTCATGAGGGTCTTTGATGAAGGGAGCGTAAGGGGCAGATAAAACGAATGAGAGAAGCATAAAAATTATGGCATCATGCGTTCTTTGTAGCGGTAGAAATTCTAGTCCGTGCGACGACTGTATCATATCATATCATATCCACTCAACCCGGTCGTGGGCTACGGTAGCGGAGGTGGGACCTTCTTCGCGATCACGTGCAGTGATTGGCAGCGAATCCATCAACAATCCCTTCAACGAAGTTGAACTCTGGAGGAAAGTTTGACTCTGGTACTCACCATCCCCCGCACTCCCCCGCTCCTCCTCAAATATCACTTCCCGCCACAGAAACTGGCTCCCACACCCAATTAACGACATCTCTTTGATTTTGCCACCTGTTAATCCCCGACAAGGTTCGTGGCACGAAACCGTTGTTTTGGGTACAAAGGGAGTGTGCTCACGTCCAGTGTTTACCGCTTAGGAACAATTGTCAGCGGACCTACGCTCTTTCCTCAAAAACAGGTAGGCTAGAACGTCCTTTTCACCGTCGCCTCTTTCTCATTCCCTCTCCTTCGTCGCCGCCGGCTGGTACGAACACCTCCAGTCCTTACAGCACCCTGGTTTTGGTGGCACAATCTATTTCCCCCTTTACCATTGCTAAACCTACAACCGACAATCTACCATGTCCGCCATTGTCATTGCCCTCGCTACGACCCTCGCAATTGTGGTTATCCTCTCATCCGTTCTTATTGCCTTGATGTACATCCGGTTGCGGCAAAAACACTCGTACAACGGCGCTGTCGAGGCGTCGCCACTTACTCCGGGACTCGGAATATTTAACCTTATCCCACCTTGGCATCCTGCTGCCCAAATCACCCCATTTGGATCGTCGCCGCAGGCCCCAGTTTTTAGTGAGTTAAGCTCGCTGGTCGTGGGAGTGTGGGACGTTCATGTGCTGACATGACTCGCTTGTAGAATTCGAGCCTGGGGCCAACATGCGCATTGCGCACAGGAACTCGGACGGAGGTTGGGAATTCTTCGACTCGGGGCTCCCTGAGAACCACAAATTGCCTCGCCCTCAATCAGTGCGATCATCGATTTTTACTCGTTCGTCTCCCTCGAGCTCAGGGTCCATCTCATCCTCCCACTGGACTGTAGGACCCGCTATCCCTCCCTCGAGGGAATTTATGGCGACTGGTTCCCCCACTGCTCCTCCCCCGCCGGCGTACTGCAAGGATGAGAAACATTAAACATCCAAATTTGATTCATTTGAATGTCTAGACGCACCTTGTGCGCTTTCGTTCCAGTCTTGCTTTCTTGTTGTCTAGTTCCACCTCTGTCTATTTTCACTTGACTTTGTTACGCGCTACAACACCCTCTCTCGCAGAAGCAGAGTGAACCCTATGCAAAATTTTCCTTTTCTTCTTTCGTACCTTGTGCTTTCTTACAATCTTGTTATGACACTCCTTATGCTCTATACCTAGTTTTTGTGATGTACCGACATAGTTTCAGTACCCCCCACCATCCTTCACGGTATTATTTTGTAGGTGATATCAGTAGTCGCCGCTGGAGGCCCTTGTATTTCATGCCAACATCCCTATCAGATATGAACACACCCGAGTATCCACGGCTTGTGACTTTCACTCGATCAGCCGCTACCAAGTGGAGCCAATATCGCTAGTCCCACGGACACCCGAGAGGTCCTGGCTGTATCGCTCACTTCCCATATATTTCCTTTCAGTGTCTTCTCTCGTTTCAGCGCTTTTCGTGCTTGATCGGTAAGAAAGCAGGACAAGTAGCACGTCGAAGAGGAGTTGCTTTCACGACTGATAAGCAAGTTGCAGGCCGGAAAGGATCAAACAGCGAGGAAGACGTCCAACCGCTAGCACGCTGTCTCGAAAGCACATTATTCTATGCACTCGTTTGCGTGGAATTGTAAAGGTTGTTTGGCGATGTGGAGCAAGCATGGTTGCGTGAGATTTCTTGCCTCCGATAGGCCGGAATCAAGCGTACAACCCTTATAACGGAATCGAGGTGAATGACTGTAGCGACGCGCCACTGACGATTCGCTCACATTTCAGCAGTCTTGTCCAGGTTGTTCCCAACGGTGTTGTGTCCTTCGTCCAGAGCGCAGGGAATGGAGAAAAACAGGCAGTTGTGTGCCGCCTGCACTTCTGGATTGACCAGGACTAGGGCATAATTCACACCGATGTAGCCTGCGGCCAGCCAGTTTGGTATGTACTCGGACCATTTTATAGGTGACTGGGGTTCTGCACCTCGTACACGCTGGAACACCCGAAGAACTTGACCCTGAACTTTAGATCTCGCAATGAACTTCCGATCCCTGAGTAGGGGGGGCTACGAGTGACCATCGCGCCGAAGGCGCTCCGACTTCTACGTTAGTCGCAAGTGGTGCAACTCCGTCGGGCGATGGCTTGCATAAGGAAGTAAGTAGATTCCGCAAATACCAGTATGACTCTTGTACAGGACGAATATCGCAAGGGGACCATCTCTCGTCGTGATCCACTGGTGTCACTGCACCACATAATGGACCCTTCTTTCTGAATCCTGTGGCTACGCTGTCATCTATCCTCACGCATTCAATGAAGGCAGTGGCCATGACGTAGCATCGAGTGCGGCTTGAACTCACTATGCTGGACGCGCTCGGAATCGCCATGACGATCCGCTGCGTTCGCTACAGGTGCCGATTCTCAGCTTCAAGAACCTTCGCCTGAGTCTTTTCCGGCGCAGTGACGACGAACAATATGGCAAGGTCGTATTCCAACCTCTCTGACACTAATACGGCCTTCGCTGGAGTGCTGTTTGATCGTTTTGCTGACCTGACTCTTTGGAACTCGAATTGCGCGGAAGGGAGGATCGCGAAAATGACACTCGGGGCATGGAGGGCTATCGTAGCCCTAAGTCGCAAATGGCGCTCTGGCATGGGTTGAACGATCCAGGGCTCTACATGCAGAACAATTACGCAGCAATCAAGTAACGGGCAAACGTGTCATCGGCCCCTCCTGGTCTGGTGACTCTGGATTCTTCAGTCACAGTTCACGCTGACAAAGTGTGGGTCGAACGCGATTGGATACCTTGGGGATGGGATTGCTTATGAGATTGAACAACAGGAACAACTAACTCCTGAATGACGGGGAACCGTTCAGATGCCTTCTTCACGGGGTTGGTATTTAGACCTCTTTGCGGGAGCATTCCCCGAAACGAGGGGGAACGTACTCTAACACATCGTTCTAGATTCGTTCTCCTTGTTACATGCTAGTCGTTATCCGTACGAACGAAAATGCCCCCGACCACCGTCAGCAACTGAGTTTCGTGCCGACTGTGGCCCAACGGAGTGGACGGGGTCTCGACAGGTGCCCCTATAAGTCCATAGAATTTCTTCACACATGTCGCGAATATTATGGTCACTCACTATCAGGCTAGCTTAGCACTAATAATAATTCCACTTATGCGTTCCATGAGGAACAAAACACGAAGGTGTGGGTTGGCATCAACAAACTCTCTGATCGTTCATGAGTACTAACCGAGGCGCACAGCATGCCTTGAGTGGAAATAGCTTGTTCCAGTCATTGGACCCGTCAATTTACAACAACGATTTCCGTTGTTGACACACTAAGCCGGCGGGTTGTGAGCGTCATTATGCGTTCCCACCGTTACGTTTGACTGCGCTCAATGTTCGGCCTTAGCCTAGCGGTTAGGACGTGGGATCCCGAAGATGCCGAATATTTCCCATAACCCCAGTTCAAATCCGGGAGGTACCTCGTGTTTTTGGCTTGTTTGTGTCGTGCTCGTTGGCGAATTCATCTTTTGTGTTGACCTGCTCCGATAAACGGATGTATGACACAGGCAGACTGTGCTGATTTACCTCCGTTAGGGCAACTGGCGGTGGCAGTAGGGACGAAGGGGGCGTTTCCCGTACCGCCGGCATCTTTGACGGACGACGTGGACATCACTATTTGATATATTTAAGAACCGCTGCCTGCCCTCACACCTTGAGTGACTGTCTAGTAGAAATGAACATTTCTGTTCTAGGAGAATGGCACTAGCCGAGAAAGTCCATGCTGGCCACGGTCCGACAGAGCGGTTGGGGTCCCAGCATCTTACAAGTTCTCGAACGTCGGTTTATATAGGGGTATAGATAACCTCACAGACAGCCACTCCGTAAGGAGAGACGACCAAGTTGAGGGTTGTCCCAGAATATGCATTAGGCTGGCGCTATGACGCGTCTTGACAGGGGAGGGAATCGCGGGGGGAGCAAAAGCGGGCGTCTGAACGGATGCAAACGCCTGTCAACGCTTCTGCGGCAAACATACCCCCACTGAAATAGCTTCCGTAAAAATCAGAAAATCAGGAAAGAAAACGGCGCATCCTTACTCAACGCTAGAAGAAAAAGGGTATTGTAAAGGAAATCCCTTTGGTCCCCAAATCAAATAAATCAAAGGCCCCTCGGAACTGACCGTTCCAGGCTTATGGGCGTGCGAAGATAATGAACTAAATTGACATATGCTTACCGTCTATACAGCAAGTACGTCGCAGGCCTTTGGATGGCGGCCAAAAGGAGTACCTGTCGTACAGAATGCGGCTTTCTTCTGAAGAGAGCCAAGCGATTGTCTATTTGTATCTCTTGTACTGTACTGAATGCTTGAATGATACTTGAATGGGGTGGAGGTAGTGTGGATACGTACGCGGTTTGATCCATACGGGTCGGCGTCGGCGTCGACGCTCTGGATGGGACTAACCCTCCGATGGATCGGTCGTGGGTATCATTATCCTTGCCTCGAACATGTCAAAAACAGGACATAGATCACAACTGTAGAACGTTTGCGTTGCCGAAACATCCCGACGGCAGTGCCGACTTTGCGAGATTTCGAGTCGTACGACTCGAAACATTTCCAGGTCGTCTCTCTCACCTCTACGACGATAACAAAGCGGGACGAGTTCACGATCTTATGCATTCTTAGGAAACATGAGGCGCCGACTACCGGAAACGGTGAATTTGTCCCACGCTCTCACGTCTTTTCGTTCACCTGCGTCACTACCGGATCCGGCAAACCAAACCCAAGGATGTCAACGGACGAGTGCGTCTACACCTCCTTCTCGTCATCAGTTACTTCCTCAGATGCGTGTTTTTCTTCAGGAAAAGTCAGGATACCATTGTTGAGCCTAAGCCATCGACGGACGCGGCGAACGACGCCCCGATGGAAACCTCGACGGAGCCTACTACCGCGCCCGCTCCCACTGCTGCTCCAGCGATGCGAAAACGCCCACGGCTTGACTTGAATTCCGAGCCACGCGAACGGAAGAGGGGAAAGACGATGTTCGGTCTTTTAGTCGGAACCTTAAACAAAGCGAAGACGGAAGACAAAGAGAGGAGCGCGACGGATGCTGTACGTTTATCTTCCCTGCATTCCGCCTCTCTTGGTTATTTGGATTGTTCATCTCATACTCTCATCGATGTCCAGGCAAAGAAGAGGCAGATGATCGAGCAAAGGCTCCAGGATAAGCTAAAGAAAGAAACTGATTCTGTTCGAAGGGCAGAAGAAGCTAAAAAGGAGAAACAGACTGCAAACAGGAAAGAAGAGGAGCTGCAACTCAAGGATTCTATCGTATGCACCTCACCTTCTATCTCGAGCGCGTTGATGCTGACGATGGTGGGCGATGCAGCATAAACTACGAAGGACACGGCTTCCATTGCTTTCCAATTTCCTTCTCACTTCAGATGTCATCCCTACAGACAACGTGACCTCACCCGCCGTCACTGCCAATTCATTAGCTCCTCCGCCGCGGTCTCGTGTCGCTCCCTTGTATTACCTCCCCGCTATCCTCACTTCTGCCCAGGAAGCGTTCCTAGCCGAGAGGAAAGAGGAGGTACGTAGCATCTTCATGTCCTCTAGAAGTCGACGGCGCTGACGTTGGCGCGATAGGTCAAGGGTGCCGTCGAGAAAGAGTGGGAATCGTTCCGTCAGGAGCGAACGGCCGGTATTGAGGAGATCGGGCAGCTACGCAAGCGTGTCCAGGAGGAAGAGGCTCGCAAGAAGCCAGAACCGACCGAGGAAGAGACCAAGGCCCCAACACCCGGGCCCGAGGAGAAGCCGAAACCTGTGGCTGAGGCGGGGAAAGAGGAAACAAAGATGGAGGTTGATGAGCCCATCGCCGCCGCCACCCCAGCCGATAAGAAGGGCGAGTCGACTCCTCCGACGACACAGGGTCAGCCCGCCGATCCGGAGAAGGATAGCCCGGAGCCCATGCAAGCGGACGAGGACGACGCAGTCGAATACTAAGCCACTAACATCTTGTCTTCTTTTTGCTGCCATATTCTTCTATGTTGGTGGGTCGCTTTTCGCGTCAGTTGACATCCTGAGAACTGAACATCGTTGTCGACAGCTTACGAAGGTTGTGCACTGTTGTCTAGGTCTCCTTTTCTTTAGTGCCTGTATGTAAGTAATCTTCCTTTGAATGAGATACGGGTTTGTTTCGGGCCCCTTTCCTCCTTGAACCTTTGGTCACTTCCCCCTCTGCCATGGCCTGCAAACGATCATTGAGGTTCGATTGGACGACCCCACCCTCCAGAAAATCGGGAACCGGAGTTCGGGCAGGGAGGGGTATTTGATTTTGCCTGCGTGCTGGTCGTTTCATTCGGGGTGGATCGTTTTTGGTATGTGGTCGACATGCGTGTGCTCTCGATATGGGTTAGCCACAAGGTCCTGGTTTACGGCCTCGGTGAGGTCTCCGGGTCCTGGTCGATGGACGCATGACCCTGGTATCGTTTCCCCAATCTTGGGATTCTCGTGATTGGAAGGGAAACCTTAAGCAGGTGGCGCGATTCTAGTGTGTACAAATTATTCTTGGTCCATCCCCTTTGTGTCACAGTGGGATGGATGCCCTCACGGTCGTACTGATGACAAACCACTAGATGAAAAAAGACGTCAGAGGGTCCTGTTCGTTTTTCGGAACACTCCTTCAGCTTGTCGCCGAAAATTTTGGCGATAGACCCTTGATCTGTATCTGTGCGATTTGCAACGTGTTGACCCTTCCAATCGTAGGGTTCTGCCAATCAATGAAAAGGGGTTGGATCCTAACGGTTTCAATGGGGTGGCTATCCTTAACCCTCTCGCTCACCCCATCATTTATCTCTATCTGGACCGATTCCTCCTACGAACGTAAGTCTGTCGCCGACTTTGGGGCAGGATATCTGGCTTCATGATCTCGTTTGGTAATGGTTTCAGAAGAGGACGGACCGTCTAGACCTCTCGAACAACGCGACGCAATCATTTCGCTCCTCCCTTTCCGTCTCTCGCTCCAACCATAGGGTTTGCGTGACTGTCAGTACCTCAATTGCAATCGAGGAATGAATCAGAGGCGTACGTTTGGCGTGCGGTAGAGTAGGGTGTGGTACGGCGTTGCTCATTCGTGCGCTGGTCCTATCGGTTCGCTGAGGGAACACGAGGGTGGGTGATACCTTTGCGATAGGCGATGACAGGGGTTTTTTTTTTTTGACTAATCTGAGGTTTTCTTATAGGCAACCGGTTAAGTGGACGAGAGGGAGAGGCTCGCCAACCAGTAGAGAGACGAGGAACACATCGCGCCTTTCTTTTCTTCCACGCTTGCAGAGCTGAGGGGCCCGTCGAAACGGGTACGCGAAACATTGATGCCGTTCTGCATACTACGGCACACCTATTGCGTGACATACTCAAAAGAGAACAAAAAGGTAAAAAATACGACCCGAGCCGGGAACAATGGAATGTTAACTTTTTGAGCAGATGTCACAGGATTAAAGTCACTCTCATACTCTTCGGTATGTTTTCCACGGGTTTCTTTTTTCTTTTTGATGGTTATTGCTTTCGGTTTATCCTTCCTGTCAAAAAATTAATATGACCTAAAGGAATACCGGTGCCCTCTATTATGTGTGGGGTTCTGGGTTTGTGCTGGGAGTATTGCTATTGAGTGTTCGATGTTGGATCCGGAGCGGGTCGTGCCCCGCTTACTTCCTTTCTTTTTCCCTTCGTGTTGATTCTTAGAACTTAGATTTCGATTATTCCAATCTCGGCTCGATCTCAATTCGAACTCACCAGATATCGACAGGTCGACAAGAATGAGTTAAGTTAGATGGTCATCAACACGAACACCCGACCGGCAATCTGGTCATCTTGTAATCCCTTATGGAATCCGATCCACGACCCCTACAGCGTGAGGCTTGTATACCACCACGTGTGCCGGTGCCAGAGGCAACTTGTCCATTCCACCGACTTCCTCATTGACTGTGCTCCGTCATCGTCCATCTCATCGCTGCCTTCCGGTGCTCGGTAGCGAGAAGGATTAATGTATCTATCGGCTGCCTTCGCACGGTCGGAACGTACGGAATCGCCAACCTTCCCTTCTCTCGCGAGTCGCATACTCCTCTAGGGCATATCAGTCCTTGCCTTCGAAACCTTCGTCGGAAGGCGGAAGACGAAGGAGGCCGGAGGGGAAGCAGTAGAGTCGACGCTTGCTGTGTCGACTTCTCCCTCCAAGTAACCTGTCCGATCATCGTCATGCTCGTTTTTTCCCCTTCCCTCTTCCCTCTTTCCTTCTCTCTCGCTGTTGTCTTCCTTTCGTCCGTCGTGGCCCCATGGTCCCCCCCATCCCCGTGCTGCTGTAAGTCCGTGGGCTTGTTCTCAATATCGATTCCGTTTGCTGACTTCGATGATTGTAGCTAATCTCCACCCGTCTATCGACCCACCATCTCTCTCTCAGGTTCTCCGCCTAGATCGCACGGCTTGAT